CTTTTTCCCCCAGGTCATAATGCTCCTAAATCAGGACAATACTCAATGCCTCTAGGTAGGCTACTGCGTCACCCTGTCCAAATCATTGGCACATTCCTCAGGCCTCTTGCACATTGCACTTATATACCTCTTACCTATCACTTATGTATAGATTATGTACAGCTGAACATTTCATATATTTTTTATCTTATTATTTTTTCTATATTTTGTTACTCTCTTATCATGCACAGCTGCTCAGAGTGACCAGGGTTACATTCCACTACATGTTGTATGTGTACAACTGTGTACGTGACGAATAAACCTTTTGAATCTTGAATCTTCAATGTTGAATTTTCGTAAAGTACAAATTCCGACCTTCCTGGCAATATATCACATGTGCTGGGGCCTCACTTCTAAGTGCCACTTCCGTGGACTTTTAGTCAAACATTATGGATGGCAGCTTCCCCATGGTTACAGTGTACAGGGCGAAATGCACATTTAGAAATCCTGCGCCGGAAACTTCCATGCATTTCGTATAGTACAAATTGCCAGCTTTCCGGCAGTATATCACATGTCCCAGGGCAGGATTTCTACGTGCCACTTCCGTGGACTTTTAGTTTAAGATTATGGATGGCAGCTTCCCCATGGTTACAGTGTACAGGGCGAAATGCACATTTAGAAATCCTGCCCTGGGAACTTCCATGCATTTCGTATAGTACAAGTTGCCAGCTTTCCGACAATATATCACATGTCCCAGGGCAGGATTTCTATACGTGCCACTTCCATGTTTCAATATAACAGATGCTTTAATTGCAATATCCTTTTTCTTTTATTTATTTCCTGTATTAATTCTGATAAAATGGCTTGCAGAGTGGCAACCACGTTTCTACGTAGATATTTCACAGGAGTGCTTTCAAGCTGTACAGTATAGCTGTACTTATAGGCTATATGAGAAAATTTAATCAGATAACACCAAAACAGTTCAATAGTGCTTGGATGTGAGATCTACAGAAATACAGAATTACAATAAAATACTGACATGTTTGGTGAAAGACATATTTATTTATTGGTTTATTATGATTTATTTTATTCGTCAGGAATTAACAGGCATCCATGAACAGTGACGTTGGTAGCCATGGACATCCACATATCTGTCTGACGGGACAAGAGAGGGGAAAAA